GCTAAAAGTGATAACACAAATTAGCAGCCACATCCTCCCCATCTAAGAGAAAGCAGTCAAAACGTCTCTTACATAAAAACATGACATTTTTTGTCAGCAAAATAAGACTTGCAGATTTCATTAACACTCCATCGCTTTGTCAAAACTTCTAAAACCACAACACACAAAACAATGTTTAAATTTTATTTCCTGCTTTGTCACAAAGAAAAAAAATAACCAATGCATCTACTTAAATCAGTGCCATATAAACCGTGATTTTATAAGCAACCAATTTTTAGGAAAGCAAAGGACAGAAGAGAAGAAATATCTGGTTTTAAAACTGCGCAATAGAGAACATTCTCCTGCAGCCAAAATTAAAATATTAAACTTTGGGGGGAGGATTAAAAGTATCTTTTGAAAATCATCGATTTCAGATAAATATAGAAGGAAATTGGGAGGCTTCAAAAACCGCAAACATCAAATAGGAGGGGAGGAGAAAAAAATGCTTTGCTACCTGGCAGAATTGAAATTCTGATTAGAAGAACAAAGTGTCAGAATTCACTTAACACTAATCCACGTGTAGAACAATGTCCTCCTAAGCAGCAATGAATTAAACGACAAGAGTGTCGCCCAATTAAACATTAAAATGAAACTATCGTGCTCTGCAAACAACATGAAACTTAAGAGATGTCTCCAAACAGATGCCAATAAAAGGAACAAACTCTATTACAAGAACTGATTTACATAGCGTATAAATGAAGAAAACGTGTACGTGGGGAGGGGTGGTTTGTTTAAGAAACAAAACCCACAACAATCACAACTGTAATTGTTCACTGTACTCCACTGTTGGCGCAGAAAACCCACGAGGCCGGTGTTATGTACAAAGAAGAAAAGGTTTTTTAGAAGGTTAAGTTCAGGTCACCCGACAAATGAAATTGTAACAACCCAAAGTGACACTGTATAATGTCTTCTTCCACTGAATCAATAGGCCACCCTCTCCACAAATTGCCATAGAGATGGCAAGGGGTTGTATTGTTTGATGAGACAACAGATTTCCCACTTGAACTGCATTGTTCCTGAAGGATGCATCCTTTTATTATTTGGCATCTTAAAAAAAAAAAGAGAGACCATCCATATTCACAGCATCTATCGGGATACAGAAAGGACCCAACCTATCTCCCCCAAGGGGAAAAAAAAAACCTTTCAAGTCTTTTTTGGGGATTTACCTCATGTAAAGGTTAGGAATGTCTGAAGTCTATAAATTTGCCCCAGGATATTTAGACCCCAGTGAATTTTTCCAGTTAAAATGATCTGTCTAAACCATTAAAGTAGAGAGGAAAGGAAGCAACTCTTCAGACATTGAAAACAAACTGGTTGAGCCATTCCAAAGGAACCTGAAGGTCCTTTGAATTTTTATTTATTTAAGAAGAGATTATCGCAATGTGCATGCAAACAGCAGCTGCCATCTCAAGGCAGATTTGACAACCAAATCTGAAAATATATTAGCAATATTTAAGCATCTATAGTGTGAATGCAAATTCCTTTGCAGCAGCACATAGAGTTGGCATGATCTATAAACCACTGAAATTCAGAGTACAGCCAGCAAACATTGCTGGAAGGGTATATTTCCAGCCTTCAAATCAGAAATGCATGCACAAATATTTAGTTCTGAAGGTTTTAAAAAGTCTCTCTCCCACCCCCTCCCTCCCTCTCCCCCCTTCTCTCTCACATACACACCCACACAGATGCAGCATAACACAAACCAGGCCAGCCAAATGGTGCCACCCCAAAATGAGGGACTCTAAACCTAAGCATAATAACCTATCTTCGTTATTGGCAGAAGGAAGGAAGGAAGGAAGGAAGGAAGGAAGGAAGGAAGGAAGGAAGGAAGGAAGGAAGGAAGGAAGGAAGGAAGGAAGGAAGGAAGGACGGAAGGAAGGAAGGAAGGGAGGGAGGGAGGGAGGGAGGGAGGGAGGGAGGGAAAGTAGCATGTTCTTCTACAACTTTAAAGTATGCATCTAATTTTGTACAGCTTTGCATTCAGAATGCAGGTACAACTAAATATTAATGCCATTATTTTTTTTAAAAAACCAATTAATTTGCCTGTTTCTTCACCTCCCATGAATCAACTGAAATGCAACAAAAATTACCCCCTCCCAATGCCATTCCTTTGCAAGGTTTCAGCCTGTGAACTTAAAAAAGGTGAAGGACGAAGGCGGATGCTTCAAGGAGCAGTATTAGTTAGAAAGCATTAAAGATTAATTTAAATGAGTTCAATGCTATTTCTCCATCATCACGCCCACTAATGGAATGTGAGCTATTATTTATTCTTCCCTAACATATATGCTCAATGCTGTTACTAACTGACAAAAAGCATCCTTGCCTTGAGAGTTTCTGCTTTAAATATTTTCCTTCAAAAGCTTTGGGCCTTTTATTATTTTTAACCCTCTTTCTTTGCACTACAGTACACTGAAAATTAGTTAAGGATGAATTATCTGATAGGGGAAGTCCTATTCATAAAATCTTAAGGAAGTGTACTTAAGCAAATAAGGGACTGAAGAGAGTTCTCCCTGCAGGCAATATGGAAAGCATTTAACCCAGCCAAGGAAAGAAAATCAGAAAATAATTCACCGAACCTTCTTCCCCGCTCACCCTGCATTAATTTTAACAAAGATCGCAAGAGTGCTTGGCAAAGTACAGGACAGGTTTGGATTTCAAATTAACATTACGGGAGATGCTAATCCTTATTCAACCGAAAAGGACGTGTGTAATAAGGAACATTCAAAGACTCCTAACTCTTCCCATCCCTCTATTTAGAGGTGGCATTCACCTTCCTGAGACATTCCTGCCTATCTCTTTTGCACCATGGGATTTTTTATTATTATTACTATTATACATATTTTTCCTCCTACTAATTGAGAAATTTGACTCCTCTCAAAATATTCCAAAGCATTGTTGGGGCATTATTTTCATCTTTTCATAAAAATATAGAAACCTATTATAACGGCCAGGGTGACCCAGCATGTTGGCATATTGACAGTGGTAACTCAACGCTTGGACGTTAATTGGCCAGGAACATTTTTTTTTTTTACAGACTGGCCTTGGGCAACACAGTATCTGTCAGCCTCAGTTCCCAACCCATAAAATGGGATTATTGCAACGATTAACTGTATTTTCTAAATAAGATTAGAAAGTCTGCCCAAGAGGTTTCTACAATCCCTTAATTAAGACCAATGTATTTATATAAAAGTAAATATTTTCCAACATTACAGAGTAGGGAGAGGAAGGGGAAGCAATGGAGCTTCCGGTATTTTGAATGCTTTCAGAATAACTTTTATGTGGTAATAATTTTTAATGTCTGCAAAACAATCCAGTTCTCCATTATGGGACAAGTAAAGTGATTGGAGTGGAATTCTGGGGGTATCCTAAACATTGAAGGGCACTGCCCTCAAGTCATTGGTAGACCCCTAACTAAATGTTCTAAAATGTTCACTATATCAAATAAAACATACTTTTCACGGTTAATCACAAAGGATTAGGAGCTGCTTCTTCTACGTGACAATCTCTCTCACTTGGGGTTTGCATGTGAATACCCAACCTTTGTACACGGGTTCAATTTTATCCGTCTTTCCTAACCAATCCATAATCAACTGAGAAGAAAAATCACTTTTGGATAGACAGGATTACTATGATTGGATTTATCCATATGGTCCCAGAATGCACACAGATAATTACACTGAAAAGTCATACAGTCCTCCATCTGAATACCGTCTCCCAAAGAATTCAGTAGGGTAACTTAGGCAAGGCAGTCTCTCCCAGCCTCAGTTTCCCCATTTGAAATAAGGGGCATAAGAGCACAACTGTAGTTTGCAGGGCTGCTATACAATTCATAGTCAGGCAATGCAGTTGAAGCCTGTGAACAAGTCTGCCTGGAAGACATGTCACTATAGCCACAAAGTCACCAGGCATCTGAGCTCAACTTGAACAACTTTAGTTTTGTCTGTCTATGTGCCACAGGTCATCCCCATCTACAAGGGGAAAAGTCATCCCTGCATCTGCTCTGCTGAATTAAAGCATAGAGAATCATCTCTCACAGGTGCAAATACAAATGAAAGGAGCATAAACCAGGCCTTCAAACTCTGGAGAAAGCTATCCTTATCAAAAATTGTAATAGTATGCAGAGAAACCTTCTCATGTGAGGACAGGAAGACAAAAAGATGGGCAAAAGTAACAACGTATATTTGTTTATATTCTCATTTTTGCATGCTTAGAACACAGTATCCAATGCAGAAAAAGGCAGATTTTGTTAACAATGTCCAACAATCCTGCTCACACAGCTACATAGTCGCAATATATGGTTTTCTTTTCACACCACAATTCTTTAATTCCATGCAGTTCAGTCGGCACTATTTCTTGCTTATGGTACCCAACACAGGTAAAATAGACAGAATAAAGATCATCAAGAGGCATCTGCCTCCATTTTGTAATACTAACAATTAAACAGTTTGTCAGTACAGTTGACACTTGTATTGTTTAATATTTTAAAGCCATCTGCATCTTTCTTTAATGACAAACTTTGTTACTTCTGGTTAGATAAACCTGGTCACTGATGTATTATAATAAGAGAGAACAATGTTATCACTCTCCTGAAATAAATTAGTTTGGCAGTTTTGTGCTCTGGGTGTTTTGTATTTTTTTTCTTTTTCTTTTTTTCCCAGTAAGTTCAATGTCAAATGACCAACTGAAATTCTGTAAACAGTAGGCAGTTGAATCAATTAACAGTCTGGACCCAATGCCGTAGGAGCAACTAGTTTAATGGCCCACTAGATGTGAAAGCCATCAAATTATTATGAACTTTTACATCTAATTGCAATATTATATCACAGAAAAATATCCTTTCTAGTATACCTTGAAGATATTTCACTCGGTAGATTTTATTTATCATAAAGATGATAATCTGCAGAATATGAATATATATATGGATATAAAAAGTTGGAAAGCACCCATGGGATCTACTGTACCTGACAACTGTATAAAACAAAAGCGATGCTGCAGCTGCCCCCAACAATGCGCAGAAGAGATTAACGCGATACGCAGCAGAACCACAGGGAAAAAGCTCAATGGCCAGTTTAGCCAGAAGAGTGAAGAGAGGGTAGCCCGGAGGATGAGCAACCTGTGAACAACAAAAGACTTCTGTTTTGAGATGTCACAATGGCCATTTAATGGAGAAATGGCTTTCTTATTAGCTTAATCATAAACAGTTAGAGTACTATGCCTTAAAAAGCTGCTCTTCTCCCTTCCTTCCTCCCTCCCTCCCTCCCTCCCTCTCTCTCTCTCTCTCTCTCATACACAAACACACTCTTCTGTAAGTGCTAATTTTAAATACAGCAAAACATTTGCCTTAACGTATGTGGATGCACAACATATAGATAGAGCAGATCACTTTAAAAAGTGGAGACACGTATTACTATTATCCCCTAAATGGCTTGAAGTCTGGATTCAGCATGTATTCCGGCCATTCAAAATGCTGGGTTTCTTTTTATTATACAATTATAAAAGAGAGAAAAGAGGGAAAAAACAGATGCTGAACTATTTTATTGGTTAGCAAGTTGAAAGACCACACTGCTATCGGATTACCACCGTGATGACAGTCCTTAAGGTTTTGCCTAAAGGGGATCATGCGCCTTAATAAAGTTTATTGAATAATAAAACTTATTAAAATTGTTAACCCGATTTATTTTTATTCTCTCCAGCTTATACAAAATTTGGATTGATAATAAGCCAGCTACTGTATATACAGTAAAGCCTTTACTTTATAATTTAGTTTAATTGGATTTAAAACTTGGAGTAAATTGTCGTGTGCCATACTTATAAGTTAGAAAAACTGTGGTTTGAAAATATATTAATCTACTTTAACTCCATGCTTAATTAAACTTCCTTAATTCCTAAAACTGTTAATGAGAGCATTGATTAAACAATACAACTAATACTCACTCCAAGCTCATAGGCAGCTGTGATCAGTTCCCCTGTGAAAAAATAATATAAAACCAATAATTACTATTATGGAATGACACTCCTCCCAAATTTTCAAACTGCAAACCCTTACGTTGGGGGTTTTGCATTAATTTGACTGCATAAAAGTGTAAATCTGTGGAGATTTAGCAGCATGAAATTTTCCAAGAGTATTTTCTTTCCCCTCTGATGTCAATGCACAAAGTATTCTTTTGTCATATTTTCTTGACTCTCCTACCAGCAGAAAAGCGAAGGTGAGTTGTAGCTGTTAATGATGAATAACAACAACAAAAACATCAACATCATTCTTTAAAGTTTGGAGTAATTAAGGGCAGAGGCCACATGAAAAAGACAAAATAACCGAGAAAATTTGATTTCACAGCTCAGCCTTCGACTTTGTATATGAATTCTTGATACTGTTTTTTTTAAAATCAGTGTGGACTTCTATTTTAGGACAGGACAATTATCCTACTAAGGATATATATTTATTCCCAAGTGCCTTGCAAATTTTATACTGAGTTACAATTTCCCCAGCCTTCAGGCTTTTATTCATCAGCAGCCCTACTGAATTTTCCACTGATCATTTTATTTTGAAAAAAAAAACCAAATACAAATACAAACGTGTTACAGTTCAGCTTCATTAATATCCTCTTCAGCATACTGCATTTTCAAAACATTCAAGTCAGATGGTCCAAGGTAAATTTGGTTATGTTTTTGCAAAGAACTTCCGGGGAGAGACAGAGTTTTCCCCCTCCTTTGAGGGCCATTTACTCTTCTCTCTTTGGGGGGGGGGGGTTAAAAAAAAAGAAAAGAAAGAAAAGCCTAACCAAAATAGATTTTTTTCAAAATTTGATGTTTCCACACAAAACAACAAAATTGTTATCCTTAAGGACTGAATCCAAAGATTCAGGGATAATTTTTGCAATCTTTATGTTTGTTCAGGTAGGTCTCAATTAATACGGTTCATAAATTATACAAAATGGTCACGTTATTTGAATTTGTGCTATTCAAAGTGATATTTCTATGGGAAATATGATAACTGGTTTCATCTCAATGGAAATGGGCACTGAATTTTTTTTTAACTTAAATTGTTATATGTATACTAATGAAATGTTACAATAAACACTTCTTTTTCCACAGTTCTGTCAAGTCTATTACCCATGTAGTAAGGCTATATCACTTTTATCCTTCTCATCTGTTTCACTACCTTCTCTATTCGTATCATTATGATTATCCTTCGTTATGATTGTTACTTTTTTGTTTTGCATGTACACTGAGAGCTTATGCACTAGAGACAAATTCCTTGTGTGTTTAATCACACTTGCCCAATATTCTATTCTATTCTATTCTGTTCTGTTCTGTTCTGTTCTGTTCTGTTCTGTTCTATGATACAAAGAACATAAAATTTAAATGTATGGTTAACAAAGTCATAGAATAGTTATAGAAAGCAAAAACAATTCTTCTATATATTTAGGCATTCCGACATCTTGTCCTATTTTAGCATTGCTATGACCATGATCATAGAGTTCAATAGCATCAACTTTTTGGTTAAACGTAATAAGTTTTAAAACTTCTACTGTTTTCTTTTGATGGAATCTTCTTTTTCTCCATTTTGCAGACAGAAACTGCAACTCTGTATGCACTAGCCTCAACTGTGCAGGTACTAGCATTGAATTAAGTGAATTTTGGCTTGGATTAAATGCAACCTGGTATCAATTTACAATCACACTAAACTGAATATTGCATTACAAGAAGACCTTGCTTAACAATTTCCTTGTTTAATGACTGTCTGAAGTTATGACAGCACTGAAAAAGTAACCTTGTGTCCAGTCCTCACACTTAGGACTGTTGCAACATCCCCATGGTCATGTGACCAAGACTTATTTATTTATTAAACATTTATGCTGCCCATCTCTCTGTCAAGCAACTCAGGGTAGTTTACAATAACCATAAATAGCAGAATAAAACAATTATAGGAGTAAAACATTAGACGTTAAAAGCTAAACATTAAAAAATTAATATTAAAATGGATAAAAAGCTAATATATAGACCGAGTGAAGGTGAGATCTTGTACTAGTCTACGAGCCACCTCCAAAATGGGATGCCTCCGTCGAGGCCACAACCCAATTGACAAAGCCAAGATTTCAAGCCCTTTTGGAAGGCCCTGAGGGTGGGGGCAGATCTCACCTGGGGGTGAAGACTATTCCAAAGGGTGGGAGCCACAGCTTTGCAACCAGCAGGCATTTGTGATCTTTGCAGCATCCCAAGATCATGTGGTTGCCATTTATAGACTTCCAACCAGCTTCAAACAACCAGAGTGAAGAAGCCAGCAATACAACTGTGAGTTATAGTCACCTAATGTTTTGATTAACAATGACTTGTTAAACGACCAAATGCAAAGTGATGTTGTAAGTATGTCAGACACATGATATTTCCTTTGGTGACTACATCACTTAGCAATGGAATTGACGGCCCCAATTGAGGTTGCTAAGCAAGGACTACCTACATTTGAACAGGCGCTAATTGCGACCTACTTATACAAAGACATATCAGTCATACTGCTGGGAGATATTTTTTATAGTAATTTTATCAAGAATTGTCCTTACAACAATAAAAACCAATACTAAAAAAAAGGAAAAGGAAAAGGTGGAAAAAAGAAAAAAGGAATAGAAATAGAAAAGAAAAAGAATAATAAAGAAAAAGAGATATATAAAGAAATAACTTCCCATCTTCAAGTGCAAATAATTTTAGTAATTTATCACTGTCTTTTAAAATTCAACATATGATCTATTTTTCCTATACCCCATCCTTCATCCATAAACTCATCCATAAAACCTCATCATTTCACTCCTGATGTCAGAAAAAGTGCATTAAGGATTACCAGAGATAACAAAATATGTATTTTAGGCAAGAAATCTATGGCATTACTTGATGACACTAAAAATGAAGACTGTTAGAAATAAAAGGAAGGAATATAAAACTGATTTATTTTATCTTTCTTTTACTTCTAACAGTCTTCATTTTTAGTGTCATCAAGTAATGTCATAGATTTCTTTTCATTTCTTCTTTGTTCCTTCTCACAAAATTCTTTGAAACTTTAACAAGTCTCTTTTGTGAATCCAACAGAAAAAAAATTATCCAAGTCACACTCTTGGTGTGTTGTTTGTATAACCTTTTTTATTACTTAGACATCAGCCAGTTTCTTTTGCATGTCCAAATAACATCTTTTCCCTCATGTCATTCTTGCAGCCTGTTATTTTTAAATCACCTTTCAGCTCAGTCTCAATCGTGTCAGATAGAACTTGTTCCTCTTCCATAACATTTTTAGGCACAGTCTAGCTATAAAGGCATACAATAACTTCTGGAACCATTGTTCAAAAAGGCATACTCTCCAATATGTCCAATCTTAAAATGTTTTGCTTCATTTTGTAATTATAAATTAAGTTTGCATGTTCTTCTCCTTTAATTTAATTTTTAGTTCCTTCTAGTTACCTCTAGTGTCCCATTTTTAAAGTCTTATCTATTTATGTTTTTTAAAAGAAAAATCCAAACAAAAACATTTTCTTAAGGAAATGATTCTTTATAATGAATTCCAAAATCTCACTTCAAATTTATCTGGACCCTTAGTCCGTTTCTAATTTCCTAAAATCAAAGTTTTATTCACCCCTTTTTGTTTACCCCCCCCCCATCAAAAAACCCTCTTGAATTCTTTAACTTGTAGTTAATACTCCTATTGCTAAGGATTGAAGGAAACACAACCGATGTTGTAAAGCAGGGGTAGTCAACCTTGGCTCTTTTATGACTCGTGGACTTCAACTCCCAGAATTCCTGAGCCAGCTAAGCTGGCTCGGGAATTCTGGGAATTGAAGTCCACGAGTCATAAAAGAGCCAAGGTTGTCTACCCCTGCTGTAAAGCCTGTCAATCCATTTCCAAAACCAATTAAAAAAGAAAGTCCTTTCAAAAGCACTGACTACTGACAAGATGGTTATTCCCTCATCTTCCAGAGCTTTAAACCTGTTGGAGACTGCTGCCTTGAGATCTTCTTACAAGAAGCAACTGTATGGAGCATTTATGGGCTATTTCAAGTCCTCTCCTTGTCTGGGGAGGAATTATTAAAGAGCCATTTTCTCATTCCATTGCAGTCATCAGATCTACTTTTTGTGGAGGCATCTTCAGTTCACCATTTTTTTCTC